CCACGTCTGCGAAGCATGTGAAAAGCGTGAGCGTATGTATATATGCGCGTGCAGCAGCAGCAGCAGCAGCAGCAGCGGCGGCGGCGGACCGTCGATACGTAACGATACATCGTACGCGTCTAACCTTCGATGGTGTATATTCTCCCTACACGATAGGCCGTGTGCGCGTAAAGGTGGAAGAGGAAAAACAAAAAGAAAAAACAATGATTATCACACTGCAAAAAACGTGCCGGCAATCCACCCTGTGGGATGCACCAGTGGGATGCACCAGTGCGATCGACCAAGTGGGATGCACCAGTGCGATCCACCAAGTGGGATGCACCAGTGCGATCCACCAAGTGGGATGCACCAGTGCGATCCACCCTGTGAGATGCACCAGTGCGATCCACCAAGTGGGATGCAGCAGTGCCTGCACTACTACTAGCTGCACCTAATAGCAACCAGAATTAATGTACTAATACTCAATGAAACTAGACAAGTATTTGGTAAACCTAGTTCGTTGGAGTGCTAGCTACAGCCCAGCATTATAGTGTGTGGGCACAGTTAAGGGCAGCAAATAGTGAATCATCTTCAGCGAATTCGCGTGGCAAGTATATATGTGCACTGTATATATGACACTGAACAGCTATGGCTGCATAATGCTTACACATACGTAGGAAATTTTCTGATCATTACTGGAACTCGCATGAACGTAAATTGCCTTTATTTACATCACATGGGGTTTAGAAGCATACCGTCTTCAATTATTCTTTTCAATGTTTTTATTTGTCACTAAACCTAATTATAGTATTGTAAATATGACTAAAATCCTTGTTATTTCATACATATCTAATATTATATATATATGATGTTAAATATTCGGACCAACTCCAATGATTATGTTATTAATCTCGATCAATCTAAGTTACGTACTTATTTTGGTCTGATCTGCTATGAAACACTGCACACATGGACCGCTTCCACGTATACGGTCAGACGTGCAACTGTTAAAAGTTACGTTACCATACAGCCTACCACCTCTACCTCTACCACCTATCGCACACGCGGTGGGTGAGTGAGGCTGAGAGGGTCTGGATACCCTGGTACTATCTAATAAGCCGGACCGTACCTTGCCTACTCCACTAACGAGTCTAGGGAGTCGCCTACGCCTACTCCCTAACCCTAACCCTAACCCTAACACTAACCATATCAAATAGTTACCAGGGTACGTTCCGGTATACCGGACCATACCCAGGGTACGTTGCGGCAGTACCCTGGGGTACATAGACTCTATGAGCGTGAGTAAGACACCGGCAGTGCTGCACCACACTACAGGCGTGGGTGGAAAACAACGACACAGGCAGGTGACAGAAGACATGTTGGGCCGTGAGGGCTTACAGTAACGCACACCCGCACCCTCGCACCCAGGGTTCTCCCCCTCTGCTCTCACTAATGTTAGCTCACCCAGACTCTCCCCCTCTGTGCTCGCTGATGCTAACTCACCCAGACTCTCCCCCTCTGCCCTCGCTGATGCTAACTCACCCAGACTCTCCCCCTCTGCCCTCGCTGATGCTAACTCACCCAGACTCTCCCCCTCTCCCCTCGTTGATGCTAACTCACCCAGACTCTCCCCCTCTGCCCTCGCTGATGCTAACTCACCCAGACTCTCCCCCTCTGCCCTCGCTGATGCTAACTCACCCAGACTCTACCCCTCTGCCCTCGCTGATGCTAACTCACCCAGACTCTACCCCTCTGCCCTCGCTGATGCTAACTCACCCAGACTCTACCCCTCTGCCCTCGTATGATGGCAACCACACCAGACTCTCCCCCTCATCCCTCGTTGATAGCTAACTCACTGCCAGGGTTCCCCCTCTGCTCTCACTAACGTTAGCTCACCAGACTGCTCCCTCTCGCCCGTCGCTGATTAAAACTCACCCTGACTCTTCCCCTCTGCCTCGTCTGATGCTAACTCACCCAGACTCTCCCGTCCTCCTGCCTCGCTGAAGCTATACTCACCCAGACTTCTCCCCCTCTGTCCCTCGCTGATGCTAACTTCAGCCAGACTCTCCCCCTCTGCCTCGCTTGTATGCAACTCACCCAGACTCTACCCCTCTCCCTCTGCTGATGCAACTCACCCAACATACCCCTCGTCCCTCGCTGATGCTAACTCACACCAGGATCTCTACCGCACTCTGCCTCTCGCTGATGCTAACATCACCCAGACTCTCCCCTCTGGGTCCCTCGTTGATGCTAACTCACCCAGGGTTCTCCCCCTCTGCTCTCACTAACGTTAGCTCACCCAGACTCTCCCCTCTCCCCGCTGATGCTAAACTCACCAGACTCTCCCCCTCTGCCCATCGCTGATGCTACTCACCCAGTACTCTAGGCCCGCTCTCCCCTCGCTGATGCTAACACCACTCCAGACTCTACCCCTCCTGCCCTCTGCTGACTAACTAACTCACCAGACTCTCCCTGTGTGCTCTGCTGATTGCTAAACTCACACAGACTGCTCCCCTCTGGTGGCTCTCTGATGCTAACTCACACCAGACTCTACCCCTTCCCCTCGTTGATGCTAAAACTTCACCCAAGGGTTCTCCCCTCGACTCTCACTAATCGTTAGCTCAGCGCCAAGATTCTCCCCTCGCCCTCGTGAACTAACTCACTAGAGCTCTCCCCCTCTGCCCTCGCTGATGCTAAAGTACCCATGACTCTCCCCTCTGCCCTCCGCTGATGTAACCTCACCACTCAGACTCTCCCCCTGGCCCTCGTGATGCTAACTCCCAGGTTTTCCTAGCTCTCACTACTACCACCACCCTCCTCTGCCCTCGCTGATGCTAACTCACCCAGACTCACCCCTCTGCCCTCGCTGATGCATAACTCACCCAGACTACTACCCCTCTGCCGCTCGCTCGATGCTAACTCACACCAGATCTCTCCCCTCTGCCTCGTGATGCTAACTCACCTATGATAGCCCACACTACTCCCACCTTGTCACCCTTCACCAACTCTTCACCCGCTCCGGCACCCCCACTCACCCACCTACTTTCTCACCCACCCTCCCTATCACCTGCTCCCCCACCAATTAACTTTCCTAACCACCCACCCTTCCAACCACTCTTCCACCTGCCCACTCTACCACCCATTCACATTTCCACCCACTCCCTCTCCCAAACCCACCCACGCACTCTCCCACACACCCTTCCTCTCTGCCACACACCCTTCCTCTCTGCCACACACCCTTCCTCTCTGCCACACACCCTTCCTCTCTGCCACGCACCTGATAGTACTTCTCTATGTCTCCAACGTTGAGGTTCTTGGAGCTCCAGTCTCGCGCGATCTCCGTCTCCTCGCGCTCGTTCAGCCACGTCAGCTCGCGCGTCGCTGACTCCACGAAGCCGTGCAAGGACTTCAGGTGATGCAGTCTGTTCACAGATGTGTCCTGTGCGGTGGAGAGAGAGAGAGAGAGATGGAACGGATGGGTCGTTTAATCGACGGAGAGAGATGAAGAGAGAGAGAGAGAGAGAGAAGGAGAGAGAGACGAGCAGGAGAGAGAAGAGAGAGAAGGAGAGAGAGAGAGAGAGAGAGAGAGAGAGAGAGAGAGAGAGAGAGAGAGAGGAGGAGAGGAGGGAGGAGAAGGAGAGAGAGGGAGAAGAGAGATGTAGAGAGAGAGAGAGAGAGAGAGGGACCGAGAGGAAGGATAGAGACGCAGACGAAAAAAGAGAGTGTAGAGAGAAAGAAATAAGAGAGATAGGAACTGCATTAATAACACTCGCTGCCATGAGAGCTGGGCCTACGTAAAGTACTCGCCGATGCGGAGATTTGTTTCGCGACGACTTTGAAACTTCAAACTTCTCGACTATGAAACAAGTGACGTTTTGGAATGATCATTTCTAACAAACAGACCAACCGCCGATCACCACCACCCACAGCCACACAGTACACTGCCATCACCACACCACAGCCACACAGTAGCACCGCCATCACCACCACTACTGCCACACGTAGCACCCGCATCACCCATACCCCACAGCCACACAGTAGCACCGCATCACCAGCACATGTTCCTTGTTTTTTGGATTGCCCCAGCCACAGTAGCACCGCCATACCAACCTACCAAGCCACACAGTAGCACATACCGCCATCACCACCTCCATTTACACACATCCACACAGTTAGGCAAGCGGCATCACCACCTCACCACATGCCACATGCATAGCAAACCGTGCCATCACCACCACCACACCCACAGTACACCGCATCACCACACCTACAGCCACACAGTAGCAGCATCACATCACCGACATTCCACTACAGTAATGCACGCGCCATCTACCACCACCAATCTCACAACAGTAAGCATACCGCCATCAGGTCGACACACACAGCCAAACAGTAGCAGAACCGCCATCACCACCACCACAGCCACACAGTAAGTCAACCGCCATCGACCACCGACCACATCCCACACAGTAGCACCGGCCAATTCACCACCACTGACACCGCCACACAGTCACGCCAATCACCAACCTACCACAGCCACACAGTAGCACCCGCCATCACACCCCCACACCACACAGTAGCACCGCCATCACCACCAACCACATCCACCACAGTAGCACGTGCCCATGCACTACCGGCCGCAACTGCTCCAGACTTGCAACACGACGACACCGGCCGATCGGAACGATGACAAGACCAACAATGAAGACGCCGCCGCCGCGCCGCCGACATCGTCCTTACAAAGATGATGCCGTACGAGTAGCTGGTGTAGAGGGCTCCCATCTTCCCCTCAGCCAGCTGCAGTAGAGCTTTCGTCTCCTCCGGGGCTTCAGCGTGTTCTTGCGCGGGCGACGCACTGGTCGCGCGCGATCCTGAACTTGCGAGACCTGCTGTGTGAAGGTTTGCGTGGTAGAGAGGAAGTGCTGCAGCGGAGGGCAGGTCGCCCCCACTTGGACGACTCGACTTCCATCTGTGTCGGGGAAGAAAAAACGAAAGCTGATATGCAAACAAACAACAAACACAAACAATAGGAGGGACAAACTCCGACAGGGGCGCACTTCAAAAAGAGTCATACTCCGCGGAGCGTGTAACATGTATAATGTGTATAACAGCTGGCTCGCTGCTGCTGGCTGCTGTCTGGACATTCTAAGGCGAGCTGCTGCGACTGGCGGCCTAAGGCGAGCTGGTGCTGAAATCGATCGTCGCGCTGCTGTGGCTCGCTGCTGGCTTACAATATCACATCATTCACACGAACATCACACGGGAGGTGTCACATTACCTCCCTGCACTCCGTTGCGGAGGTACTTATACTTTGATGGGTGTACTATCATAATAGGGGAAAATTGGCCAAGGGCGTGATCGGATGGTGCGTAGCCGTAGGTGTGGCAGTGGAGCTGTGTTGATAAGTAGTGTTTGTCATCGGTTTGTCATTTTTCGTAACGATCATTCGGTTGGACCCATAGTAACCGTGATCGGTTACAATCGGTTACCTCGGGTGTTTGAATCCTGCGTTGTTGCGTTTAACGTTGGGTGTGCATAGTACGTGTGTGTCATGTTATGTTTGCTTTGTTACCCTGTCTTTGACTGTGTGTTTTGGCACTGTTTACTACTGTGTGTATAATAATTATGTTAATAAAAGTTACTTGTAAGTAGCCGTATGATATCTCCTGAATTCTCATGGCTACTTTTCCAAGTTTTCTTGTTCAAGTTTAAAAAAAAAAAAAATAGAGTTTATGAATTGTTGAATAACGCAAGCGCTTGTTCGAGCCACGTGTTCAACCGATGATCGTGATCCATCCACTAGCCGATATAAGTTCCGCGGGGGCTATAACAAACGATGGCTTGTTGCAAACAAACAACAAACAACAAACAAACAAAAAAAGAACAAACAAGAGTAATGGAGGGATGTAGTAAGTGGTGGGTTAGTAGTAGGTGGGGGATGACCGATCGTGTCAGAGACCGTTTCATATGCGATGTCTTCAGGGGAAACTACCAGCAAAACTCCCTCTAACGGGGGGTTGAAGTGGTTCATCTCACCAGTTTTTCCGTCTTCATCCCTGCGATGCGACTCCTGCACGTTTTGAAGACACGTTTGTTTCGAACGTATGGCGCATTCTGGGACACTGACCTCCGTCGTCCCCCACGGTCACCACTAGTGCTGCTCGGTTTTTCGTGAACGTTCGCTTGTTCAGCGCGAGAACGACCCCCTGGTCGTCGTCCTTGCAGCTGCGCGAGTCGTTCCCTGGAGTATCCTGCGCTCTGACGGGAATGGACAAGAACATTAGGACAAGTTACGTTAGAAAATTACGTTTATGGTCAAAAAATCCAATGCTTTCTGCAGAAATAAAAATTTCCCCCCATGAATGTAGTTACGATCATTCCGACGTGAGGTCACTCGCAATCTCTTTCCTCTCTCTTCTTTCTCTCTCTCTCTCTCTCTCTTTTCCTCTCTCTCTCTCTCCTCGCTCCTCTCTCTCTTCTCTCTCCCTCTCTCACTCTTCTCCTCTCTCTTGCGTCTCTCTCTCTTCTCTCCCCTGTCTTCTCCTCTCTTCACTCACTCTTCCCCTCTCTATCCTCTCTCTCTTGCGCTCCCTCTCTTCTCTCTCTGATGGTCCTCTCTCTCTCTCTCTCGTCCCTCATCATCTTCTTCTCTCTCTCTCTCTCTCTCTCTTTTCGGCTCACAATCTCTCTCTCTCTCTCGTCTCTCTCTCTCTCTCTCTCTCGTTCAATAGGTGGTATCAATGGGGGGGTAAAACATCGCAGTACGAGTGATAAACTGTGTGTTATGAGTGATAGACTGCGCGGTTGGGTACTTACTGCTGCATCATGCTTGGCTGCCTGGTAGTACCTGCTGTTTGTGATTGTCTGTGAGTGTCTGCGAGCGTCTGTGAGTGTCTGCGAGTGTGTGTGAGTGTCTGTGTCTGTGAGTGTCTGTGAGTGTCTGCGATTGTCTGTGACTGTCTGTGAGTGTCTGTCTGTGAGTGTCTACGAGTGTCCGTGAGTGTCACACCGGGTTTAAGAGTGGTAAGTACTTACTGCTGCATCATGCTGGCTGCCTGGTGGTACCTGCCGTCTGTGAGCGTCTGCAGGTCGATGAAGATCGCACGCAGGCTGTCCTCCGTCCGCTTAATCGTGTGCTCCAGCTGATCACAGTTTCGCTTTGCCTCCAGCGGATGAATCTTATCCATCCTCGTCTCCTCCTGAAGCAGCGGATTATAATGACGGTGAAGACTGGCACGTGGGGTGGGGTGGAGGGAGAAACACAAGACAGAGAAACGCAAGATCGGAGAGAGAAGGAGCTGTTTCAAGAGCTGTTTCAACATGTTTTTGCGAGCGAGATGGGTCATCGGAAATTTGTTGGCGTGCATTCATTCGGGTGGGAATTCGAGGGCTGCCCCTCCCCTTCCCCCCAACCTTCTTCGATTAACCTTGCCACCAGATGATGGCAATTCGAGGAGGCCCTCCCCCTCCACCCCACCCTCCTTCATTCGACCTCTGCCGCCGCTCGACCCTGGAATACCCACAATAGAAGTCCCAGTTTCCCCGAGCACACACACGGGCGCGGGAGAGAAAAAAGATTGGCGATGGCGTCAAAGCCGGCGGGCCGTGTCGGTCGCAATTTGTTCAAATATGCCGTGTTTATGGAAAGATTTCACATTCAACGCGTTAAGGGTTTTTGCCGTTTAGTGCCTGCCTTTCCTCATACATAATTAACAGCACATGGGGGTGGGGTAGGAGACGATGCTAATTTCTTAACTCTCGGGAAAGCTCAAAATAGAATTTATCTTGCACTGACAACAACACAGTACTGTATGCAGTCTATGCGGTAAACACCACCCTTATTTCATTCTATACTTCACACAGGATTCTCTATATGCTCGGCTAGACATCTCGCTAACTTACACGTGCATAACTTGCAACCAACGCTTGCGAAATATTATGACTGTGAATCAGCCTCGCTAAAATTTTAACGCGCGACCGCGACGTCGCCGTATATATTAAGACCGTTAACGAGTTTCAGGTGAAATTTAACGAGCAACATGAGAGAGAGAGAGAGAGAAAGGGAGAGAGAGAGAGAGAGAGGGAGAGAGGGAGAGCGAGAGGGAGAGCGAAACAGAGGAAGGAGAGATGAAGGAAGAAAGAGACGGGAGAAAAAGACACTGGGAAAGAGTCAGACCAGCAACCCACAACAATTAATTATCATGGTACCTATATATACTTACTGGCAATTGACATTTGTCCATCGCAGCATTAGCTATTCCATCTATAGTTAGCTATATATCTATAGATTACCTTTCGACGTAGATGTGTGAGAGAGCCCACAGGTGATCCCACTTATCTACCATCAGGTTCAGCGTGGACTGCACCTGAGGAGCCATGCCTCCCTTAGGAATGCTGCGTGCCTGCTTCTGTATCGACTCAACCTTCGGCTCAAACAGCTGCAGACTGTTCTCAAACTCCTGTCACATGGGGAAAAAAATCAGCATTGATTATAGGTAGGCTTAGGTAGGTTACATGTATTCTCATCAGTACACGCAACATCTTCCAACACATCATTACCTAATTATTTACCTAACACATACACATTATCGAACGCCCCGTCACTAATACAAATTACTGCTATAAAACCCTTATAGTTTCTGCACAACATTTCCACACCACTCCTGTCGCAACACCATCAACCTGCCTCCCGCGGCAACGCCTCTAACCCGCCTCCCATCGCACCGCCCGCACAGCGACTGGGATCGGGGATTGTCATCCGGGCCCCTACCTTGTGCTGTATAACCAGCTGCTCTAGGCTGTCCATGTCCTTGGGCAGCGGGGTGGCGCAGCGAGCCTCCAGCTCCCTGGCAGCGTTGTCCAGCGTCACGTAGAGAGAGGAGACGTGGTCGGCTAGTGGCTCCTCGGGGCCTTGTTGCTCTGTAAGCGGTGCGAGAGACAGCTCAGTCATGTTGTTGTTGTTGTTGTTGTTGTTGTTGTTGTTGTTGGGCGGATTTTATTGATAGATCGATTCTGCTTGTCGTGGTAATAGATACGTGCTTATGCAGCCGTTGCTTTCTGCCCCTCCTTCATTGGATAACAGATTGCTCTTCTTTCCTGATCCCAACAGACACATCCCTCCTCCCTCTTACCACACCACCACACAAGTTCTACACGATGATAGGCCGTCCCACCACGCGTCCGACCTAAGTCGTCGTCAGTCACACAACGTCCTGCCTTCAACCTTACTTCCCAGTCTCTCTACGAAAGGAATGTAAGTGAACACACACTCCGGACTGCTGCGAATCAGAGTTAGAGTTAAGCAGAGGATCCGCATGTGTGTGCTGTATCCTCACTGAGCACACTGCCTCCAACCTTACTTCACAGATTCTTGGAGACAGGAATGTATGCGAAAACACACTCCGGACTGCCTTCAACCTTTCTTCACAGATTCACTACAAGAAATGTATGCGAACACACAGCATCCTGCCTTCAACCTTACTTCACAGTCTCTCTACGAGCGGAATGTAAGTGAACACACACCGGGTTGCTGCGTATCAGAGTTAGAGTTAAGCAGAGGATCCGCATGTGTGTGCTGTATCCTCACACAGCATCCTGCCTTCAACCTTACTTCACAGTCTCTCTACGGAAGGAACGTATACAAACACACACAGCGTTCTGTCTCACCGGGCTGCTGCGTATCAGAGTTAGAGTTAAGCAGAAGATTCGCGTATGTGTGTACGTGTGCGCTGTATCCTCACCGGCAGTGTATGCTCACAGAGTGCAGCAGA